CTGATACACACACACACACACACACACACACACACACACACACACAAAGTCAGAGAAAGCACAGTTACAAGGATTTACAACAGATCAGCACTTCACACCAGTCAGAACCCATGTTTGCTTGTCTATCATAGAGGGAACTTTCCATCACTCATGATCCAATGTTTTCAGCGTCTCAGAGCGGCTTGAACTCAAATACTTGGATTTCCTCTTTTTTTGTGATGATGATGATAATAATAAAGTAGTATATTATTGTTATTAACAACAACAATACAATACTCATTAATTACTATTATTACTGTTATATAGATTATTATAAAAAATATTATCAGTCTCAATATTATCGGCTTGGTTCATGGTATATGTAGTGAAATCTATCTCTGCATGTGCTGTGAGCATTTGGGTACACAGTGTTTGCCATTCACATCATTTCTTACATTTTTGTGGACAGATAATTACAGCATTTCACTAGATTTGTAATGAAACACATTTGCAAACCTCTTTTCACAAAAACTGCAGTTTCCGCCAAAATAAAAGCCAGAGGGTTTAACTCTTGCAAATCATAAGTAATTTTACACTATAGTGTAAAGAAAAAAAAAAAAAAAAAAATCAATTAAGGAGCCATTTACTCCCTACAAGAAACAAAATTAGCCGCCAAAATATTATTTTAAGTGCCACAGAATAAATGTGTTTTATATATTTTTTTAACACTTTAACATTTCAGTCATACTGTTATGTGTTTATGTCTCATCTTTTCTTGTCTTTATCAGCATTTTAATCCATCTTGTAGATGTCCTGGGAACTAAGGTTCACTTAAAATGGGAACTAAACATCTTTTCCAACTTGAGAAATATATAGTCACAAAGAATTGCTTATTACACAGAATATGTGCCAATATCATGGACCATAACTATGTCAGCATCACTTGGCCTTTGAGTGTATTTTGGGCTCCTCTTCAATGCATCCTATAAATGTTGTCATATGTCTTGCACACATCCAGTCTATTTTTCTTCATTAGTAACATGCAGTTATATAGAAGGTGTTGAATTTTATTTTTAGCTCTTTGCATTCTCTCTTATCATGTAGACAACAGGTTAAGTAAAAATAAGAATATTCCATATAGCGTGTATATTCAGCAAAATGCTCCTCTTTAGTTATTTTTCTAGCTGACTAATGAGCTTATGGATGCCGAATGGTTATTCTGAGGTTAACGATTGTTATGTGGCATTGTTTACATGCTTTACAAGTTTTCCGCAGTTTGAACTGAATGAGCGATTGCTTGAGACATTTCAGTAAGTTTTACTGTAAGCTATCTTATAATATATAGTACCTTTTGAAGTTTATTTCGTACTACTGCAATAAAGAGAAAGAATGACGTGTTCACATGCTGCTTGAACTGAGGCGCTAAAGCGATCGCTCATGCCGCATTAAGGAGTGCCAAAACAGTATTTATTGTTTGAATTTCGTTATGAATTTGGCAGAATTTTAAAGCTGATGCTTTGTTTATTGTTTATTAAAAGGCAACAGAGCACAAAGCTTACTGTGATTACTGGACAGCAAGTGCGTTACAAATAATATGAAGTTCACGCATTAACAAAACGTGGCATATAGACTAAAGATCTTGATAACAAGAAGCCATATTAGTATCGATTATAAATGAGAATTGTTACGATATTGCTAATGTCCACACAGCTGACAGCTTTACCTGTTGTAGTTTGTTCAAGTTGTGCACGAAATAGACAATACTTTTCTGCACTTTTACTTCGCACGTCTCCGTCATTTTCGATCTCTCTCATGCTGCCACAATTGGAGCTGCTTTTTCATTAGAAGGTGTGCTGTCAGTGCTGGTGTTCGGCAGAGATGAGGACTGTTTTTCCACTAAAACTTTGGTGTGCATCATCTCAGTTTATTACGTCAACATAAATTATGTGATCGCAAAACAATCAGGAAAAAAGGCATTACATGCACGTTTTTAAATCATAACATGTACATTTATATAGTCACCAGTGGCGAACTCAACAAAAACTTCACTCGCAAATTAATATTTTTCGTTGCAAATGTGACAGTTTTAGGTGCAGTCTGGAGCCCTGCCACCCATTAATATCGTTTAACATAGCAATTACAATTAATAACAAGCTAAGAATTGGAGAGATGACAATAAAATAGCTTTCTGTACAGCATGACAAATCTTTCAACTCTACACAGGCACTGAGCTTATTGTAAAAGCATATTAATTCCAACATCAACTAAGACACTGATACAGTGTTAGTCACAGAGTTGCTACCTAAACACAAGCTGCATAGTGAAAAAAAACCTAATGGACTATGAACTACCACAATAACCATAAATCTATGAGGCTACCTTTAGGTTCATTCACATGGTCTTGAAATTTATATGGAGATGCTTGATGTTAAGATTACATAGGGAGGGTGGGGAAAAGGACTCAATATGGCAAGCATTTTAAATGATAACAATTAAAATTAAACAAAGAGAAAAGCAAATGTATGCCCAACAATATTTCAAACCCCAGAAAGAGAAACTTATGTATACAGAAATCAACATGATGTGAACATTCAATTATGAATTTTGTGAAAGTTAAATCCTGTTTAGCCAAAGTGGGTTAATTATGTGGTACATTGTTGGCTAAACAGTCTTTATCTATGTAAACAATATCAGAGAGATGCCAGGACATGTTTGCTTTACATTGCCTATTATGGCTTGAATTTGCATGGGGCTTAAGTCCGAACCTTGAGGCACACCTCTCCTATATTTACAACAGCAATACTGTTGATTTTTAAACTGCCGTTTTTCTCATAACACATTTTTTAGTTATAAGTACAGAAATATACAAATAATTATTTGCCAAACAGACAGGAACAATGTGTATGTGTAGCCTAAAGTATTATTTATTAAATATTCTGACTTGAAGTGGAGGCTCTAGAAACACCTACACAAGGTTAAGCAATGAGGCCAATCAACTCTACATAATGTTCATTTTAGAAACAGGACTATAACTTTCACAAATCATTGTACCAAAATGTTAACTCACCGTCTGCATACACATGAGAAAGCAGCAACAAAAAAGGAAACAAAACAAAAAGACAAAGCAATTATGGCTGCATGACAGAAAATACACAACATATCATGTTACTGTAAGCTAAGATGTAGCCTAAAATTAGGAAAATGCAAAAAAACATTTGCTACAGAAATTGGTCTAGTATAATTTAAACTAAAAACAAACTCTGGGTGAATGAATGAAGCTAAGAAAACAACACACTTAATTTCTAGATTAAACAACAATGGATTGGATCAGTCCTATAATTCAGTTGAGCTAAAAATTCAGTAGTCATTACAATTAGGTTAATATGAGTATCCCTGGAACTAATAATTTATATATCCTACCTTTAAGTGCGATGACTTTGCTCGCAGGGTTCATGATAGCGCTATCTGCAGAGATGGGCCTGCGGATGGGGGTGTTTGGGTCCGCCATGTCGATGATCACCACCTGTGCCTGTTCTCCAACCTTCTCCCGGATACAGATGAACTTATCAGACTCCATCGTCAGGGTACTGAATCCGATGTTGGCTGGGTTGATCCCCAAATTTTGGAGCTAGGAAAAAGAGACTTTTATGATTAATGTATTATATACCAATGAAATTTAAATCTTCATAAATCTTAAATCTCATCTTAAAACTTCACAAAGGGGGAATGTTTTCTAAATGATATCAGGTTTCTCTTTGACCCTGTGAACCTTTCTAAGAATTGATCTTAAGAAAAATCAATGACTACGTGTTCCACACTACAGATTAAAATGGATCTGAAACATAATTTACAAGGGACACAACCAGACCTAACAGTAACAGCAAATAACTTGGTTCCAATGTAAAGGTGCTTTTGTTATAACAAAATGTAAGCAGTAGCAGTGTCTCTTACAATAAGATTAGCATTTCAATAACGGTAATAAAAAAATGTTAAAAAGCCACAGAACCAGCAAAACCTCTCTTTCCCCACCCCAGTGAGCCAAGCACATGACTTTGCTGTCTGAAAAGGCCTTGAAGGAATTTATCTCAGGGACACACAAAGAACAGATACAAGAAAGACTTCATTTTTAAACAAGACTGTGTACTGAGAGCTTTGTTCCAGAATCACAGACAATTAGCAATCATGAATATGTATCTAACTATTTAGACATTTTTGGTCAATACTGATTTCAAAGTCACATTTTGGCATTCCAAATATGCTTTTCAATGAACACAATTCAATTAAAATGTTAAAAGTGCTGTTTTTTTCCCCCCAGTAATTTCCACTGAATATTAATGAACTGGCTCAAAAGGCCTAAATTACAACAAATGGCCAAAAAAAGAATGGTGGTAATTTGTACAGACAAATATTGTACAAATGCTACAATAAATAGCTGTTAATTGGTTAACTCTAAATTATTTTACCATATATGCTGAAAATTTGTTAATTGTTTAACATCACATATAAAATTTTACTTCAAAATTCTGCCAAATAGATATGTTTTTGCATGTAAAAACGAGGAAGTACTGTATAATCTACATAGAAAAAAGTTAAAGGACATTCCCAAAGTTCCTTCAGTTATTAGATGATGTACAAATTACAACAGTCACTAACAGGCAAACCTCTCAAAAAAAGATCAGAGGAGGAGAGACAAAAACACTTCCATCATTTAGTAGAGCACTTGAACATCCTCAGTTTCCCTCAATTACCTCAGATACAGAAACAGCATGTCAGTGCTACCTGGCACAAAGACGCTCAAAAAATACAGTAAGACAACAGCCAATAACATCTAACACACTGGCATAACTTGCAGATTTCATTAATTTGAAAAGCAGAAAAAAGCTAATTATAGACCTTTCACAATGAAATAAATGCACATAGTTCATTATTAAGCAATCACTCTTTAATAGTTGCCTTTTACTGGTTATGCCAATGGTTTTAATTTGATCAATAGTCAAGTGATAGTGGCATTTCTACCCACTCATTTTTCCTCGTCAAGAGGTTATACCAGTTAACACTCAACAACATTGACATTGTTTCAATCTATTAAAGAGACACTTGTCACGTCTTCTTAACTATCAGAACTAAACCAACTATGACGCGACTCAGGTATCAGTCAATTACAGACAAAAATAAAAGTAAGTGGGATGCCAACTCAGCAGCACCACACCAGCTGCCTTAGAAGTCTGAGTCACCAAAGGCTCGGTTAGAAATACTGACCCTGAGACTGAGAATAAGATCTGCACTTCCACACAGAAAAACAGTGTGATCTGCACGTTAATAAATGCTGATCTTTGTACAGTAAATTAGTCTAATTCCAATTCTATGATTCACACCATATGACAAAGCAACACATGTAGACGAGAAAATGCAGTGACATCAAATCTGCAAAGAGACTTACATTTGAAATGGGTTCAGAGGAGCAGAGGAGGATTTAGTGTTGGAGACATCTGGACTTCAGGCATTTTCAACTAAACTGACAGCTGCTTCTGTATCGACTCTTCTAATACCAAGTCAGATGGCTAAAAGGGTGAAGTTGTAGCTTTATTACTGATGAGCAGCCAAAACCCAGCCTTTATTTTTATCAGCCACCAGACAGATCTCAAATACCAGTAAGCTCAAACAGAGGCGGCAGTCGGGTTAGCGACACTGACATATATAACCAATCACGATTCCAATGCACCGTACACCAGGTGCCGCACATGCTGAATTACAGAGATCAGAGCTGACAGCTGCAGAGATGAGAAGTCTTGGTCTTATATAACATCACTTACAGCTCTGAATGATGCTGGACAGGAGGAGAGTCCTCTGTGACATTAACAAAGCTTTCAGCGGTCAGTGTTCAGCAGTTAGTTGCCAAGGAGTTCCAAGCTTTGCAGCCAAGTCCATTTGTTTTGTCTAGGGCTGTGCGATATTGAAGAAAAATGCGATATGCGATACGATATTGCTTAAAATGTGTAAAATCAATTTAAATGATATTTTAAAATATTTAAAAATGAAAATTATATAACCAATTTGTTTCACATTCTTTACTTGGCAAATAAAGAATCACTATAACTTCTGAAAGTGACCAGCAGTGTTTTAGCATTACTTAAAAAGTAATGTCACAAATCAGAAAATGTAATTTAACATCAATGTGTACATACAAACAAAAAAATTAATGACACTAATTTTATATCACTGTAACTTTGCTTTCCATACACTTTAAGTACTTCTTCATATACCACAGCAAAAACTATAGTCTGAGAAAGTTCAAACATGATTAAAGGCAAGTGAACAGTCAGTAAAAAAAATAAGAAAAAAAAGAAATACACAATTTACAAGCATAGATAAAATAAACAGTAGTATTCAGGTACAGAAATGTAATAATTAAGTGTAAAATAACACTGCATAGTGTTCACTGTATGAATTAAATTTAGATTAATCTTTGTTATAGCCGTTTTGTTAACATTAGTGACATATTCAGCAGCACGTATTTATAGGCTGCTGTCCCTTTAAATCCGACTGCACGGATCCAGTATAATGATACACATCCGATTTCTTTCTCAGCTGTTTACATTCATTTAAAACATAACTGACTGCGTTTACGAGAATGATCGTCGAGACGGGTACTATTTAGAGCCCGACCGATATGGTTTTTTTGGGGCCGGTACCGATACCGATATTTGGGAGTAAAAAAAAATGGACGATATCAATATATCGGCCGATATTCTTTGTGTATATTATAGTACAGTACCAGTCAAAAGTTTGGACACTTTCCCATTCGTGTGTCCAAACATTTGAGGCCTGTAGACGTACACTCGATTCGCGTTCGAGAGGGTTCCTTGAGCTGAAGGGATCCCCCGAATTTGGTGCTGATCCGCCGCGCCGTTACGGAGATATGGCCGTTCAAAGTTTCAATGGTTTTCCATAGACTTAAGCTTTAAAGCATTTCATCCAGGTCGCTAGTAGCAAACAATGGAGCACGCTCTGCTGGACAAACGAAGTAATTACAACATTTCAAGCATTTTATCTGCGTTATATGCGCTGTAAAAAAAAAAGTTCATATCGGCAGCATATTTGCCGATACCGATATATCGGCGACAGGCTCATATAACATAAGGAGGAGATGCGAAAGACGAATCAACTCTGTCTGAAACGTGTCTCTCTGTGTGCGCACGCTTTGCACGTGTGCGGCAGAACTAAAGAGACGCTGTGCGAGATGTGGCTTGTGCGCGCGGCTCCATGTGGCTTGTGCGCGTGCTTCAGGTGTGAGTCAGACAGCAAGACTAGATGGCAAAGAGTTGTTTTCTGCAACTTATTGCACTTAACTCTTTTTAACGTCAAGCAATTCTCTGCTATATGCGTCGAACTAAAACTTTGACCTTTTGCAACGTTTTGATTTAAGTAGCATATTATTAAAATGATAATGATATCGCACGCCGTTGCGATATGCATATTGCGATATTTACATTTGCGATATTTCGATAATTTGATATATCGTGCAACCCTAGTTTTGTCCAAACTCCACTTTACAAATGTTTTTGCATTGCATTTTGGGCTGATAACTGTCTCAAAGAGCAAAGCTGACTTAAACCTGACTTGAAAGTACAAGGAAGAATATAAGAGATAAATTAGTCAGATGTCATTATTATTGTGACATTATTCTGCTTAATACAAAGTCATGCAACTACAAAAACATGTCTTCGGAAAACAGTTTTATAGTGCATGCATCGTTTGGACTACATTTATGATGGTTTTATGATGATTTTCATTGTTTTTTAGAGCTTTGACAGCCCACGTTCCCCATACACTTTTATTGTATGGAAGAAACCAGTGTGAACCCACGTCAGAGCTTTTGTGTTCTACAGTAGAGATGACATGAAGGTGAGTAAATGATTACAATTTTTCATTTTTGGGTAAACTAACCCAAATTACAATTGGTTGTGAACTTGTGAATTTGAATATCTAATACAGAGGTTGTACGTTAAATAATAAACATAACTGACTAATTATTGAGAAGGGTGGCAAGGACTTGGAGTTTTGTACTTTAATTTGCTAAATACTAAATCACTAAACTAAGAGACTAAATATTAACAAATAGTAGACAGTGAACACTCAGATAAAGTATTTCACTGCTGGCTAAATGTATCTCTGGCTCATGCTGCAGCTCTTAGGCCTAATCAAAGAACAGGAAGGAACAGGAAGCACATTTTCTAGGAAGAACTCAACGGAATCAGCAGCACCTTTTATCATTGGAGAGCGGACGCCGGCACACCCGAAGCCACACCCACATTCCTTTGTCATGCTGCACAGAAAGTCACATCATCACTTAGCTACTAACCGAGAATTGTGAAATAATAATAAGAATATATTTTTTTTTTAAATAGGGCTAATTCTGAATTTCTCTTCAAACAGAACAACAAGTTGTTATTAAATTAAGCTATTTTCATGGCAGGAACCCAGCAAAATCAGTTAAAACTAGGTACATAAACAAATATTTAAGAAGGACATAAGAGATAAACAGACAGGATACATTATTCACAGAAATATAAAACGAGAAATCAGAAAACAAATAACAAAATAATAAAAAAAATAAAAAAAAACCTTGCTACTGAGAGAACAGTAACCTGCTCACACACATTTCTGTGACCTTTATTACTGCATCTTATAGATGACATCACACATGATGACATCACTACTGAGCAGGCCATTCCGATTGGCTGAAGGGAAACCCTGCCCCTGTTAGCTCTCAAAAGGTAACGAGAGACACTGAAGCAAACGTAAGCGAGAGAGCTCTCACTGTCGTAGCAGCATTAGCCTTAGGCCAAGCGTGATTCATCCACAGCATTTAACTGCTGCTTGCTTCAGTGTCGTCTCAGACATGCCCAGAAACTAACCCTCTTTCCCAACCGGTAGCTCATCCAGTCTACAAGAATATGCTGTGTGGCACGAGAAACATCTACTTGAAAATAGCTGGCCAGTTTCTTCCTGGATTTCTGTGGACATCTCTGCTCTGTGCAAGGAGGATGTGATATTGATTTTATCCTGGCAAAGAATCTGAATCAATAATTGCTAGCTGGTACAAAAAGAGCAGCTTTACATTAACCACAAATAATTCAGTCAAGAGGAACATACTGACTACAGACTATTAATTTATATATATAAATTAATAGTCTGTAGTCAGGAACATACTGACTACAGACTATTAATTTATATATATAAATTAATAGTCTGTAGTCAGGAACATACTGACTACAGACTATTAATTTATATATATAAATTAATAGTCTGTAGTCAGGAACATACTGACTACAGACTATTAATTTATATATATAAATTAATAGTCTGTAGTCAGGAACATACTGACTATGAGTTGATTTTTTTTAAATGATATATTTATAACATTTTTGCTTTGTGAAGAAACTCATACAAACAGACACTGCAGCAAACAAACTGTAATAATCAAGCGGATCAAGCACTGACAATCTCTCCTCTGTCTGCTGTGTATTTGACTTCCCATTTTAGACTGTTTATTTTACAGTGGTTAGATAAAGATCAGTGCTGTGAACTTCACCAGTGAGTTAGCGAACTACATGCAAAATACAAGAGATGATGGCATAAACAACAGCTGAAGAAAGGAAAGGCAACCATTAGCTGAATTATGCCTTCATGTGAGTCATGTGATTCCTTCATTGACACTATGTTATACACACAAGTTATTTTTAACAATGAATACATTAAATTCTTACTTTTATTCAGCAAAGATACATTAAATTGTCAAAATTTCAAAATACATTAAATTGTCAAAATCAAAAGTGACAGTAAAGTTACAAAAGTAATGCTGATCAAATAAAATGCTGATCTTTTTTATTCATTAAAAAAATCCTGAAAAAAATGTAGTCTCCACAAAGATATTAAGTAGCATTGATATTGAAATACATCTTGAGCAGCAAATCAGCATTTTAGAATGATTTCTGAAGGATCATGTGACTGAAGACAGGTGAAAATTCAGCTCTGCCATCACAGGAATAAATTACATTTTAAAATATATTAAAATAGAAATCTGTTTCAATTCTAAATTGTAATAATGTGTCAAAATATTACCGTTTTGACTATTTTTGATAAAAAAAACTAAACCTACCATACTTTTTAGAGGCAGGATCATGTGCACGTAGAAACTTATTACCAGCATTAGCATACTGCTTCACAACACTAACAAAACATGCTACTAGGGCTGTGCAAAAAATCGAATGCGATTTTCATGCGCATCTCGTTAGTAAAGCCGCTCCTGTGATTAGTAGTAAATCTCCAGCATGTGCATTCAGATGGAGCAGCATTTACTACACAGAACCGTAGTTCACTGACAAGCTACACAAAATCGCGTTCAAAATCGGCAATGAATCGCCTGCGATTTTGAACGCAATTTTGTGTAGCTTGTCACAGCCCTACATGCTACCATCAGAGGACATTAAACATGCCCCCCTGCTGGCACTTTCACTGACCATCACCAGTGTGGCATTCCACATTAACCCTTAAGAATGGCCACAGACACTTGACTTTACTGGCTTAACTCGAGCGGTTGTTCTGTTATGCTGACCTACACTACTTTTGAATTGTTCATGCATTTAGCACATTTCTATGGGTGAGCTTTGCTTTCACAAATCTGGGCGAGTGAGAGAAACGTTTAATACTTGAAGCATCAAGTGCTTCTCTGGGTCTGTGCAGATAAATATAGCGCATCGTTTAAATTCATGACTTTTTAAAGCTGTCAGCACATTTTTCTCTCCAACCTCCCGTGCTCGTTTAACCCTTTTCCTTCTCCGTCCAGGGAAAAATAGCATCTTGCTCAGCACAAAACCCTGATAGCAGGAGGCTCGAGGAAGGATACACAATTTGCTGAGGCTTGCACTGCAATGTCACCATCCTCCATAACAGGAAGTTAGGACCCATTGTGTAGAAAGCTAAATCAACATGTTAAAAGCTCTGACCATATGACCATAGGTGACAAGTGACCAGCCTAGCAGGTTCAGCATGGACAGCAGAGCAGGAAAGGGAAAAAGAAAGAAAGGAACAAGCACAGAATGCTCTCTGCAATGAAATCCAAGTTCATTCAGCGCTGAGCAGCTGAATATGGATAATGGATCTCCATCCACACGAGATAGTCATGTGTGATCAGCAGAGTAGAGTTCAAAGATCAAATGCATTCACAGGGCCTCAAGGTAACGTATTAAATGGCATGACATAAAACGCACGAAACCCATCTGCAGATCATCTGACTTGCCCCCTGTATCATGCTTATGTTACTCTTAAAACCAGAGTAATTTACTTAAGTGATTTGCATTGAAATCAATGCACTACAGGTTTTCAGAAACAACTAACTTGCTCCACTAATATGCATAACTAATGTGCAGCCAGCATCCAATGAAGAACATAATACAGGCCTGCTGCCTTTGTATACGAAAATCATCTTGTAAAGTATAATACAGTAAACTATAAATGATGTATATGGAAACAAGAGTCACTTATAGTGGTTATAGACACCAGTTTTATAAATGTACCTTTCATTATACTATCCATTTTGCCGTATAGAGGTTTCAGCAAACCAAAAAAAGCAGCACTACAATGTGAATCGGACATCATGAGCAAGTTTTGTCTTAATAATACTGTCTTCCTTGTGCCATTTACAGCATTATGCCACTGACTCCTATTGTACCCTGACCATTAGCTGGCACTTCACTGGAAAAATGCTGTGCTACATTTGCATTTCATAAAGTTAAAATACCACCAGAGGGCTTCAGGCTCTTTTTGGTCCATTATGCTCTTTAATTCTGCACTACTCTAGGATCGGTATCGCAAAATCTAACAAACTTTGACAGGATATACAAGTAAATATGGCATGCCTGAACTAAAAACGCACATATTCATTTCCACACACAATAATATGGTAACCCTGAACATTCAGTACAAAAAGACATTCACCATGATGTACATCCACAGACAGTCTGCAGACTCTCTCAATCTAGAAAGCTCTAATCTAATTTGCGATGTTATTTCAGTATTATTTATAGACTATTATAGTATTTATTAACATTTTGAATGAGCTTTTTTATTTTAGTTTAAAATTTGATCAATTTTATAAAATTTTTGTCATGTGCTGTTGTTTTAAATATTTCTATTTAGCTTCAATTTATTTTATTTCAGTTGTAGTTTTAGTAATTTTAGTACTTAGGCAGCACTTCTAATTTTCATTTTAAGATATTAAGTTTTAGGTTTATAATTTTTTTTAATTTCAACTTTATATCAATCAACAGAAACTATTTTAATAGTTTTAAATTTATGTAACAATAACAACAACTCTGATTGGCTTAATGTAACTTGCAAGAAAATTTCAATCAATCAGCCTGAAAACAAAGTCCTGTTTGGTACCAGTTTGATACTACAATTGTATTGAAATAATGAATGAATAATATAGCAAAGTTGGCAACAATATTGACATGTAATTGTGTTTTTGTCCAAAATAAGCTGTGATGTGGACAAGTGGTCACTTGCTACACAAAACTATGACAAATACAGACCATTACAGGCCTGACACTGGGCAAATACGATGTTTAACAACAGATAATTGATCCAGAACTAGGACAATTTGTCATACTATGACCTGTTTCAAGGACACATAACAATACACTCAAAACAAATACAAAAAGTACACTCAAAACATCCATGATTATTTTAAAGACAAGATGTATTAAATGGTGACCAAAATGAGTTACACAATGTCCTAAAAGCCTTTAAGCTGACTGAGAGCCTCAAATGAAATAGACAGAGAAGAAGTGACAGCAAGCAACCTATGAGTTCAGTGCAAATAATAAAAAATTGCAAAGGCATCATGGGACCATACACGCGTCTATAGGTGGGGTGATTTTACACCTGCTACCTGAAGCAGGTAATCTCGACACCTCGATCACAAATCTGTTTTATTATAATAGGACAGCGAATATGGAATAAAACAAGACTGAATCCCTTCTGTCATTTACAGCGATTAATTTCAAGAAATAAAGAGACTATTTATTCTAAATTTTCCTCTGCAAGTGATTTTTTTTAATACAAAGACACAACCAGAGGCAAAGACAGCTAGTGTTGATAAGCACTGTGACTACAAATCTCAATATTCTCGAAACAATCACTTATATTTTCCAGCCATAAATCTTTTTCCAAGTTACATTACAATTTCAATACACTGCATTTAAATCCGTATAACTTGACCAAACCCTCTAAATGTTTGAACAATTATGCTCAAAAATGCTGTCTGGGAAGGCAGCTCACTGGGTTTTATTTGTGACACAACCAGAATATCTATTATTCAGCTGGTTAACACCGACAGCAGCTAAGCTAACTCCCCTGCTACTACTACTACTACTACTACTACTGCTGCTGATATTCACCGGGGAATGGGTTACTAGTAAATTGCTCATTTAAAAACACACTGACGTGTTCGCTATAAACTCATAATAAAATAAATGAGACACTCATTTGAAGATGTTTTAAAGCGCTTTACCTGCAGGTGCTCCTGGAATCTGATAGGCAAGACTTGAGCCATGATGATGGTGGTTCCTCTTCGCTTTCCTCTCTAATTCCTGCTATTATTTCTGCCCAACCTAAACTACTCCAGAGCCGGGAATGAATGGAGGTGGTCTTGTGTTTTTGGGAGGGGGGAGGAGGGGGGCAGGTGAACCGGGAATGTTAGATTACTCTAGTTGCCCGCTCAATGTAAATGAGGCGCTTCAACTCCAGAATGTCAACCGCTGCTGAGGAACTCTAGAAACCTGCAATGGCGGCGGAAACCGTCCGGTGGAAACGCACCGGAAAGAGACGTAGACCTCAATGGAGGCGGAGGGATACATGTACTGCGTGGAAGAGGGATTTTAGTTGGTTTGATAACAAGATTTTACTACTTAGATGCAAAATGCCCATAAATAAATTGCGAATGTGTTATAAGTATATTTGGATATGGGAGAAGTTAATAAGATAAGTTTGAGCGTAAAGGCTGAGGGTACTAGTTCTTTGCGAATCGCCCTTTGCTTTTTGCCACATCATTCGTCCTCGTGAATTGACGTCAGTTCCGATGCGTTTCTAGACCTTCGTCAGTATTGGAGAACTGTACTTTGAGTGTTGTCGGTGTAACGTTATTGGTAATGTTCTGATTGTCTGTTGATAGGAAAATGCAGTACTGAGTCGTTTACAAGCGGCAAATGCAGGTGTTGAGCTTAATAAAGATCTTCTTCGTGGTTAGCAAACGATAGGATACATGTGCAGGATTGGTTTCAATTGATTATAAATAAATCACTATTGTTGTTATTCGTGTTCAAAGTATACGATGTTTTACTTAGCGCTCCGAACGATTCAGTGGCTGAGAGATGTCCGACTCATTCGAACTGATTCGCGATCCATTTCTGACTTGTTTGACTAGTTTACAGAAAAGAGCTGATTCAAAAGAATGACTCATATGTGAACAATGCCCGAATCGGTTAGCACTACTTTTGAGAAAATAATGTTGGAGCACGTCAGGTCTGTTTTATTTACTTGACTACAAAGACTTTATTTATTATTTGTAATATGTGCATGTTTTTTTTAAGTTTAATCATATAAAAAAGCATGCTGTCTACTTAATACCTCAGTTGAATATATTGATATTTATATATAATGTATATAAAATAACACCCATTAAATAGCAACATATGATCACCCTTAATTGTCGTTAATCTACCATGAATTTGCATAGATTTGATTAGAATTGTGCAACTGTAACCAGCACAAGCACTAATTCTTCATCTTGAGTAATTCCAGAAAGTGGGTTAGTGCATTAGAAAAACGCATCTTAATGTGAAGTTAAGGAGTGTTGTGCAATATGAAATATAATTTAAATGAAACACAAACACTGTTGACCAGTTCATTAACAGCAACCTGTTTTCCAAGCACATGGCGCATACTGGATGCACATTAGTTATATACTACATACACTATAGTTATATACTATAGTGTATATAGTATATATACCCCCCCACTCATACACTTATTTATCTAACACTCATACTCAGTCTACACCTGAATTTTGCACATAATATACCTGTACATACAAAACTGTCTATTGTAATATACCTGCACACACAATTGTCAATTTATATATTTTTATTCCTTATTTACTTGTTCTATTTTTTATTATCTGTGTTTTTTGTTCCGTCACTGTAATTCTGTTACACTATGGAAGCTTCTGTCACGAAAACAAATTCGTCGTATGTGTAAACATACCTGGCAATAAAGCTCATTCTGATTCTGATTGTCTAACAGTCAAGGGTGTGATCAAAAGCGAAGTGAATTTATTAGGCAATTCTGCTCGAGTCTGTAATGGTGGGGTTGATAGCCATAAAATGTAGTCATTTCCTCTAAAACTTGGTCAGAGTTTGTGAACAGTCTGCTCTGCTCAGAGGAAGGTGTGGCATGCAGAGTGAACTTGTTGAACTGACTCTAAAAGAAACATCTGTACTACTTGTGTGTCCATGTAAAACTTCCATATACCACAAAATAACTGCTTGAGAATTAGCGAAATAAAACTGTACTATAAAGAGAGTACTGCAGTTCTATACCATTTAGAAAACAAGTAAAAGTATTGTTGGCTGTGCCCTAATTTAAAGTGCGCAGTTATAAAGAAAAGTAGTGGAATACTATGTTGTTCTGCCACCTAGTGTTTTACTAGAAAAACTACAAGCATAACAGTAACCTCAAATAATCAAAGATTTGATATTCTTGAAAATGTTTTTTAATGTTATCCATAATTTAAGTGGTCTATGCAATACACAATACTTTACTGTGAATAAATAAAACATTTGGTCACTGAAACTATGACAAAAACATGATGTAAAGTGTTCATCAAATGATCCCATATAACATAAATACAGTACATTTCCATTACCATAAAAATTGGAATACTTGAAATATTACTAATCCAATAAGTACGAAGTTTACCTTATACAAGTTCTATTACAAATACTCTAAAGTGCAAACGGTTACTGTTATCATTCTTTAAAAAAATTGACCAGTCACAAATGCAAAAAACAGTGACAGCAGAACTACAAAAATACATTTTTTAAAAATTTGGTCAGTCATCTTAATGGCAACTTCAAAAAAACACTTTCCAATGGAACACCCTCACACTGACACCAATGAACTTTCATCCTATAGTAACAGTGGTTACTGAAGCTGGTGTACTAGGTTTGAAGTGCTGCCCCAGTAGCCGTGCTTGCTACGGTACCCCTGCTGGACCCAGCTGTGCGGTTTAAAGGAATGGTTAGGTCTGCAAGGGGGGCGGATTATGTAGTGTGGCCGCTGAGGGTAATGCCCTTTCCCCGGGCCAAACTTCTTCCTTGGTACAGGATGCCATACTGGGGCACTGGCATATAAAAGCTGTATTAATAAAGAAGATGACAGCATATATAGAAAAAATAGTTAGAAACAATGGTCCTACATACATGTTGTGCATTATATTTTACTGATAAAAGTAAAACTTAACTAAACTACCCTTTAAAATTAGTCTACAATTCATTCAAATAGCTCCATTTTCAATCAAATGTACACTCAAAATATTGTATTTCATGCCATATCAGTTATATATACATTGCATAAAAACTTTGACATAAATATTGACATAAAAGTTAGTGTGCTCAACCAGCTGAAGAGGAGGTGCAACCAAAAAATAAAAGCAAAAGCAAAACAAAAAATAAAATCTTGCTTGAAGCAAAGGTGCAACAATCACTTAAACTTTGATTAAGAACAAGCAAGGTTTGTTGCTACCTGCCTGATAAAGGCCTTGAGGATGGCCGAAATGTTGTTTTTAATCAATAAAGGTTGTTTATTTTTCTAGAAATGAGTGTCGCATCTTTTCTTCAAGCCAAAAAAATAATAATAATAAATAAAATAATAATAATAAAATAAGCCCCTTTTACAGTCTTTATTGGTAAATTACCATTAAGAGACCATGTGCGAACAGGACCTATTCAACAATACTGGTAAATCAGTCCTGATGCTTTTAATTGTTTTTCTATTTAAACATGCGCTAGACGAACATCCAACCATTGCTCCATGTCTCACGCTCAAGACCTGCCTTCTTTTCCATTCACCAGCACTGCTGTTATCAGATTGGACAGATAGTGAAACTAAAGCACTTCTCCTAATCTAGGTGGATGAAGACAGCTTATTTAAAGGTAATTTCTGGTGACTGACATCAGAGTTTGTGAATGAGTTTGGGTACTGATGTGTGAATGGTATCTTGCTGGAAAAAGAAGGAACATTGGCTACGTTTACATGCACAGTTTTTGGTTCAATCGGACTGAATTCATTACGATTGATGAATCTGAATGTAGTTTTTACATGAACGCTAAATAAAACGATCGGGTTGATGTGTGCATTTATATGTCACAAGCTTCAAATCGGAATAGATTTTTTTTTTTTTACATGCGCACACTGCACAAATATGGAGTTTCTCACTGTTTGCACATAATAACCACTCTCCTACACGGTTTCTTTATTTGTTTTTAACAGCAGAATTAATATTTATCCATTTATGGATAAATATACATATAAACCTCTGTGCTGTGCTGCTCATATTTACCATGCAGTAAAAATGCCCCTCCCCGTGCCCAAACCGGGTTGCCTGTGGATGAGAATCCAAAACAAGGACTGGTGGGAGGTTGTCCTACTCAACTTCACAGTTGCCGAGTGAAAGGAGAGTTTTATAATGACAGGACACGCATTTATACAACACTTTATTCAAAAGGAAGAACCGCTCGTTCTGTGGGTCATACGTCATTACGCTATTTCTGCGTAATTACACATGCGCAGTCCTTTCAGTTTCAATCCGATCGAGTGTTTACATGCACTCTCAATTGTATTAGAAAAGGAAGAAAACACCCCCTTCAATCGGATCGAAATGTCATTCCGATCGAGCTCAATCGGATCGATTAAGGTGTTTACATGAAGGCTTTTCAGTCCGATTGAGCCTTTAATCCGATTACAAATGGATTATTTGGTTGCATGTAAACGTAGCCACTGTTGCTTGTGTGAACAGGGATGCATTAAATTGTTTAAAAGATTCCCTTAAAGACATTTATAACATTACAAAAGATCTCCATTTCAAATTCATGCTGCTCTTTTGAACTTTAAAATCCTGAAAAAAAACAACATTACAGTTTCCACTAAAATATTAAGCATATTTAAATATGAAATAAAATATTTTCAACTGGGATAAAAATTGTTTCTTGAGTACCAAATCAGCATATTAGAATGATTTTTGAAAGATCATATTACACTGAAGATTGGAGTTTGCATCACAGGAATACATTACTTTATAAAATTGATTAAAATAGAAAACCATTATTTTAAATTATAATATTTCACAATATTACTGTTTTTACTATATTTTTGATCAAATCAATGTCACTTGGTAAGCAGAAGAGACTTTCAAAAACAAAAACGTAGCTACTATTGAACAGTAGTGTACCTGTGGCAATCAATGCAAAACAAACTTATTTAGGACATTTTGTACCTGGTATGGAGTGTGGTTGTGGAGAGGTGGGGTATACTGGGCCTCTCTACAACTGGTGTCCTCATCCGAGGAGGATCCGGAGTGGTAATCTGACGTGACCCTCTCCACAGCGCTCGTCACTTTCTTTGTCACATCCTCTTTATCATCATCATCATCACTTGAGAAGGTGGCTACAGTGAAACCATGATTCCTCTCGCCATACCTGTGTCCCAATTCACAAGCAAAGATACGTCAAAAAACAAACCAGTAGAGCA